ATGCCGAATCCAGGACAGGTGCAGAATTCAAGGGAAGGACTAGAAACAACAACAACAGATTTTGTAATTCTCAAGCTTCTAACCTGGAAACGAAATAATAAGTCTTTTTACACTGACAGATGGTCCTTGACTTACAACAATTCATTTAGGGACCTTTCAAAGTTATAATATCAATGAAAAAAATGACTTATGATTATTTTTCACACTTATGACTGTTGTGGCATCCCCTGGGTCACATGATCAACATTCAGACGCTGGTCACGTGATCAACATTCAGACGGGGGACACTGCAACCGTATTTATGACGGTTGCAGTGTCCCCCGGGATCACACAATCCTCTTTTGCGATCTTCTGACTAAGCAAAGCCGATTCACTTAACAACTGTGTGATTCATTTCACAATTACCATGATTTACTTAACACCGTGACCAGAAAAGTTCTAAAATGGGCAAAACTCACTTAACAAATGTCTCCCTTAGCAAGACGTTTGCCACAGACTTAATTAATTTATAAATAACCTATACCAAGCTTAGCCAAAACATTCACAAGTGTTATTCTCTACAATTTCAGGCACGTTCTTTCTTATTTTTACTTTATTTTACTTTACTTTTTTAAACTTTACTTTACTTTGACTTATTTTATTCACTAAATTTACTTGCCAGCCATCTCGCCGCAAGGTGACTCCGGGCGGGTTACAATATTAACATACCTGCCGATTTATTTATATAGTTATTTCTTTGTGAAAGAAATTTATGTGGCCACCCAACTCACCTGCGGTGAGCTCCAGGCAGCTCACAATATTAAAAACCCACAATATAAAACCCCTACTCTCACAGCCAGGGAACTTCTTAAGCCACGGTGGGGATTGGGCCTATAAAACACAAGTGCTCTGTGATCATCAGCCAGTACAGAGGAAGGTTCATTAGAGGTTGATTTACGGAAACGAGTGAGATACTGTAGCATAAAGCGAGAAGTTCATGCAGCAGTTGGTGAACATTCATGCAATTCCAGACTCCCAGTTTTGACCATACATTGCCAAATTTCAGTCATTTTGGACTCTATAAACCATGATATGTTTGTAATACATCCCTAGCCTCGTTCCTCTCTCTTTCTCCTTAATCAAGATATGACCTCCTCCGCAAAGTGCTAGCCAATCTCCACACTTGGTCAAAGGGTGTGTGCACCATCAGGTAAGGCAAAGATTAGACAGACCTGGGTATTGCCACATCCTCACGGCAGTTAAGAACTGAAATCCCAAATTTACAAAGCCTCCGCCCTGTAATTACATTTCCTTGCAAAGCTCTAGGAACAATTCCTTAGTCCCATTCTTGGGAGTTATCTATAATTGAGCTTAAACATACACATGTCCCCCCCTCCTTCACTTCTCCTTTCATCTCCATGGTGTTGATTTTTGGACTGAAACCTCATTGGGAGACGGAACTGAATAGTAATAATAATAATAATAATAATAATAATAATAATAATAATAATAATGAGGAGGAGGAGGAGGAGGAGGGGGGGGGGATTGTGGGGTCCTTTGTGCTCTCTAAAGTTGATTTTCTTGCAGACGTTTCATGACCCAACTAGGTAACATCAACATTGCTAGAAGAGAGAGGAATTTGCAGAGAGGAGGAGGAGGGGGAGATGATATCAGCCAAATTCCTTGGAGTGAGAATCAAAAGGGGGGGGGAATAAAATAATCTGGCCCTGATGCAGGCAAATGAAAAATGGAACTGAAGGCAAAAACGTAGCTAAGCCTCTGAAAAAGAAGGAGAAGGAAAAGAAGAAGAAGAAGAAGAAGAAGAAGAAGAAGAAGAAGAAGAAGAAGAAGAAGAAGAAGAAGAAGAAGAAGAAGAAGAAGAAGAAGAAGAAGAAGAAGAAGAAGAAGAAGAAGAAGAAGAAGAAGAGTGGAGCACACCAGATTGACTACAAACAACTGCATGACAAAATAGCCACAAAAGAAGATCTGCAAGAAATATCATTTATCCGCAAGCGAGCACCGGTGGGACCACAAAAAGAGACAAAGTAATAGGAAAACGATGAAGCTAAAGTGCTCTGGGACTTTAGAGTTCAAACAGACAAGTGCCTGCCACATCACATCCCAGACTGCGTTACTGCGTTCTTATACATCTATGGAGATTCCCAATCATTGCTTCCCCCCCCCCAAAAGGCAATGGGACTTTCTTGAGGTTTTTATTTTCTTCTTTGAAACTGTTTTGCTTCTCGCCCAAGAGGCTTCTTCAGTTCTGTGTTGTGATATGTCTTTAGATTGCATTTATACACTTTCGATATACAGGGGAAACTCGAAAAATTAGAATATCGTGGAAAAGTTCATTTATTTCAGTAATGCAACTTAAAAGGTGAAACTAACCTATGAGATAGACTCATTACATGCAAAGCAAGATAGTTCAAGCCGTGATGTGTCATAATTGTGATGATTATGGCTTACAGCTCACGAAAACCCCAAATCCACAATCTCAGAAAATTAGAATATTACATGCAATCAATAAAACAAGGATTTTACAGAGAACAATATCGGACCTCTGAAAAGTATAAGCATGCATATGTACTCAGTACTTGGTTTGGGCCCCTTTTAAGCAATTACTGCGTCAATGCGGGGTGGCATGAAAGCTATCAGCCTGTGGTACTGCTGAGGTGTTATGGAAGACCAGGATGCTTCAGTAGCGGCCTTCAGCTCTTCTGCATTGTTCGGTCTCATGTCTCTCATCTTTCTCTTGGCAATGCCCCATAGATTCTCTATGGGGTTCAGGTCAGGCGAATTTGCTGGCACAGGAACCCTTTGCAGTTGTTATGGCTTAATTAGCTGATTAGAGTGGGACACTTTGAGCCTAGAATATTGAACCTTTACACAATACTCTAATTTTCTGAGATTGTGGATTTGGGGTTTTCATGAGCTGTAAGCCATAATCGTCACAATTATGACAAATCACGGTTTGAACTATGTTGCTTTGCATGTAATGAGTCTATCTCATAGGTTAGTTTCGCCTTTTAAGTTGCATTACTGAAATAAATGAACTTTTGCACGATATTCTAATTTTTCGAGTTTCACCTGTATGCTCCTTGTATTGTTTTGTGGTTTACGTAGTTTTTAAATGGCTCTGAGCCGCTCAGTCATGCACAGATAGTCCTCAACTTACCATGGTTTGTTTAGTGACCGTTCAACGTTACAACGGGGCTGAAAAAAAAGTGCCTTAAGACCAATTTTCACACTTAAGACCGTTGCTGCATCCCCAGGGTCATGTAATCAAAACTGGCAACTGACTCGTACTTTATGACGGTTGCCGTGTCCCAGGGTCATGTGATCACTTTTTGCGACTCTGACAAGCAAAGTCAGTGGGGAAGACAGGTTCACCCTATAACCGTGTTCCTCATTTAAACAGTGGCTCTGATTCGCTTCATAAGTGTGACAAGGAAAGTCGTAAAATGGAGCAAAGCTCGCTCAACCAGTCTCGCGTAGCGATCGAAATGCTGAGCTCCGTTCTTGGTCCTAAGTCAGTGGTTCTCAACGTTTTTAATGCCACGACCCCCCAATCGGTCGTAAGTCGAGGACTACTCAACGGGTGCAGCACCGTTTGCAGAAGGGGACTTTTGGCGGGCTCGGCAGGGCAGAGACAGCCTGGACAATTCCTATTGGCTTTGGAAAGCCAATCGAATGAGACTCTATTCAAGAGAGTCTATTCTATTGGCTTTCAAAAGCCAATAGAATAAAAGGGAGCAGCACAGCTAAGGAAAAGGGGGAAAAAAATGGACTGCGTTGTTTGGCGACCCCCATGAAATGGTCATTCAACCCCAAATGGGATCCCGACCCACAGGTGGAGAACCACTGTGCCAAGTCGAGGCTACGATAAAAGGATATATGAAGGGTGGATATTTTGAGCATTCATTGTACTTGGTGAAAATACTTTTCCTGGGCAGAGCTCTGCATATCCGGGGAAAACCTCTACATCAAGGGTGGCGAACCTATGGCACGGGTGCCAGAGGCGGCACTCAGGGGGCTCTCTGTGGGCACGCGTGCCGTCGCCCCAGTCCTATGCCTTCAGATGGGTTTTATAAAACCTTTTCGCTTTTGGTCTCTGCCGCCGTGTGCAAAAAAAAAAAAAAATGTAATCAATCAGTCAATTTCAACTTGCGAAGTTGGAATTGATTGATTGAACATTTTAGTCCCACCCAGTCTGCCGTTACCACCGCAGCCACGCCCACCCAATGGGCCATGCCCACCCAATGGGCCACATGCACCCGGCACCCAATGACGCATAAGTGGGTTTTGGGTTGCAGTTTGAGCCCTCGGTCTCTCAAAGGTTCGCCATCACTGCTCTACATGATGTTCAGCGGAAGGAAATAAAATCTCTATCGCTTAGAGCAGTGGTTCTTAACCTGGGCCATATTGCCCCCCAGGGGGCGATTTCATTTTTCAGGGGGGCAATGGAACGAAAAGGGGCGACACGGGGGCGAAGGAATGAAAAGGGGCAATATGTGGGCGATGGAGCGAGACGTTTTGGGGACACTTTTGAGACTTTTTCGTACAGTGAATCGCTGTATATCTGCCGTACAAAAACATCAGATCGCTGGCTATTAGTGGACTGAATTGTGTTTTCCAATGTTCCTCCAGCTAGCTTCAGGACAGAACGCCGTATATATGTGAACACGCATCGCTTATCTTCATGCGCGTTGCGCAGCAGCCTCTACCCATACAGTGGCGCGCCCTTGGCCAGAATATGGGAGATATGGGAAAAAGACTGGAAATAAATTATTTGCATCAATAGGTCCTGATGACAATTTCAAAGAAAACAAAACAAGGGTTTGCATAAATGGAAGACTTATTTCCTACGTTGTGATTGAGAGGTTATGTTAGGGGGGGGGGCGATGACACCTTCCTCATTGGCTCAAGGGGGCGATTCGTTCAAAAAGGTTACGAACCACTGGCTTAGAGGAAGGTTGACTGAGTCACAAGCAACACACAGAAGGAAAGCAAATGGGTACCTTGTGCCTGGAGGCTGCTGAACTGGAGGTCCATTCCAAAGCACACTTAAGGAGGGGCTGTCAGGATCCAGAAGCCCCCCCCCCAAGGGCGTTTCAGGTACAGCTCAAGTCTGAGGGGTTCCCTGTGTGTCGTGATGCCTCTTCTCTCTGAAGAAAGATGAGGGGGGGAAAGTAGAGTTTTGAAACACAGTTCCATTTCCTCATCATTACATCCTATAAAAGGCACTAAGGGGGAAAGATGCCTGCTCCACCTTCACCAGCCATTTCCCGGGGTCTTCCTTAGTCGCCCCATGCAAAGCCATTTCCCTAATAAGGGTAGGGGGTTTCAGAAGCGTCTGCTGAAGGGATCTGAAGAAACAGGGGCCACTGAAACCGTCCTTACAATAAGTAAAGGAATGTCTGCTTCTTTTTTTAATATGTAAATTTTACTTAACAGTTTCAAAAAGGAGATTAAAAACTAACAAAATAGGATGGGATGGGATGCATGGATGGATGGATGGATCGGATGGGATGGGATGGAGAGGAGAGAGGAGAAGAATGAAAGGAGAATGAAAAAATGAGAGGAGAGGAGAGGAAAAGAATGAGAGAAGAGAGGAAGGAAGGAAGGGAGGGAGGGAGGGAGGGAGGGAGGGAGGGAGGTGCACAAAGTAAAAAGAAATACAGTACGAAGAACTTTCCAATCCCCTTTGCAGCTAATGCAAGTATATAGTCATCTCTTACTCTATGCGTACAAAAAAGCTCTTTTCCCCCTTGCAAACCACAAATCAAAAGTTCATTCCCCCCCCCCCCCGCAAAAGGTCTAGAACAGTGGTTCTCCACCTGTGGGTCGGGACCCCATTTGGGGTCGAACGACCATTTCACGGGGGTCGCCAAACAAGGCTGTCCGCCATTTTTTCCCCCTTTCTTTGGCCATGCCCCTGGCACCCAGTGATGTATAAGTGGTTGGGGGTCACCACAACATGGGGAACTGTATTATGGGGTCGCGGCATTAGAAAGGTTGAGAACTACTGGTCTAGAAGTCTACGAGGGCATGGGCTTCCAGCAGCAGCTCCCAAGAGGTGGCCACCAGGGGTGGAACAATGGGATGACCCATGCTGGACATCTGCTGCCTTCAGGTAGAGCCAAGAACCCTTTCCTGTCCTTTGACGAACTTGTGAGCATTGTAATCCCTTTGCTTGGCTGTGGGCCAGCCAAGCCTGTCCTTGGATTCGGGCAGCAAAATGGCTTGGCTTAGCTCTGACTACTTCAAAGGGAAAACCATTCATATGTTCGGCATAATTTTCAGTAGATAGATAGATAGATAGATAGATAGATAGATAGATAGATAGATAGATAGATAGATAGATATAGATATTTGTTTTCTGAGGTTTTCGCGGGTGTTTGTATGTAGGTCTTTGGTTATTTGGGTTTTCTCCTGCATAAAATTGGAAGTGTCTTGGCGACGTTTCGATGAAGTCCCATTCATCATCTTCAGGCTGGTGTTTTCTGGAAGCACGAAGCCGAAAACTTCGTGAAGATGACGAATGGGACTGAAGATGACGAATGGGACTTTTGACTTTGTCGAAATGTCGCCAAGACACTTCCAATTTTACGTGGGAGAAAACCCGAATAACCAAAGACCTACAGATAGATAGATAGATAGATAGATAGATAGATAGATAGATAGATAGATAGATAGATACACACACACACACACACACACATATATATATATATATATATAGAGAGAGAGAGAGAGAGATCAGATACACACATGCTTTTTTTAATTTTAATTCTGTTACAAGCAAAACTGGATATATTGAAAAGGTTTGTCTAGAATTCCAGTCTGAAAAAGCACAAGGACCCAACAGTGACCTCAAGTAGTTCAAGACGAAGGACGCGAAATGAGAAACGGAAGACGGATCCAAGATTCAATCTACAATTTCAACCAATCCAGATAATAGCAATTAAGCTAAAGAAGCCTTCCCCGGATGGTGCCCTCTGAACCCCAGGCCTCCAGACCTCAGTGGCCACGTTCAGTTAAGACCTTCAAGGCTTCCACACCTATCAGAGGCCTGAGTAGGTCTTTTAAATTACTTTGACTTTCACCCACTAGACTTTCCTTCCTTCGTATGTTGATATTCGCTTGGTCCTCACTTCAAAATCCCCGGTGAGGCTCAAGTTCTGAAAGGTAGTTTTTGTTATCCGTAGAAAATTGTGTCATTTGGGGGGCGGGGGGGGAAGAAAAATTTCTACTGCTCTAGTCTGGAGAGGTAACATGCGGTGCAAATTCTCAGGTGGATAAAAGTTGTGAACGTTGGAATGAGGTTTAGAAAGAATGAGAAAAACTCATCCCAAATAACGAAGTCTCCACCGTGGCTGAAACCAATGAAGGTTAAATGGAGTCTACACTTTTAATAGCACTATTCAAGATGTGGTAGTCACAACCTGCTGAATTTTGGAATACTTGTAAAAATAATTTTTTTATCAGTTTGAAATCCATGAAAACTCTCCTGAGTTATATCTATCTGTCTGACTATCTATCTATCTATCTATCTATCTATCTATCTATCTATCTATCTATCTATCTATCTATCTATCTATCTATCTACCTCTCTCTACCTACCTACCTACCTCTAACTCTCGATCTATCTATCTATCTATCTATCTATCTATCTATCTATCTATCTATCTATCTATCTATCTACCTACCTACCTACCTATCTCTCTATCTGTCTATCTATCTATCTATCTATCTATCTATCTATCTATCTATCTATCTATCTATCTATCTACCTCTCTCTATCTACCTACCTACCTACCTCTAACTCTCGATCTATCTATCTATCTATCTATCTATCTATCTATCTATCTATCTATCTATCTATCTATCTATCTACCTATCTACCTATCTATCTCTCTATCTGTCTATCTATCTATCTATCTATCTATCTATCTATCTATCTATCTATCTATCTATCTATCTATCTATCTATCTATCTATCTATCTATGTGCCTGCCTGCCTGCCTGCCCCCCCCCCCCATCTATCTATAGAGAACCAACCCCAGATGCTTTTTTTAAATTTGGAAAGACTCCAATTGTGATACAATTATATCTTTGGTAAAGAATTGTCTTAGGGTGAAATAGGTAAAAGAACAAGTTAAAGCCTAATTCTACCACCAGCAGCCTCCTTTGGGTGAATTTAAACAAATATTGATGCGTTTCCATGGTAATTCCTGTTCTGAATATCCTCTAGTCATTTTATTTTATTTTTTGAATAAAAAGGGTCTTTCCTGTTTGTGCTTCGGCTTTAAACTTGTAAATATTTTCTGCCTTAGTGCACGTATCCTTCAGGAAAAAAAAAAAAAAAGAGGAAAAGCCAGAAAGGAAAATTGGTTTCTTATCTCTCTCCTATTAGTACAGAGCTTAAGAGGTGACTATTCGGGACAAGACAGCAGGGTGAAGTTTGAAAAAGAAAACCCCAAAGTGCTTTTTTTTTTTCTTTTTCCCCCGCCTATCCCAGGGGAAAATTCCAATAATCCCAACTGAGGCACTAATAATTAAAGACTACTGGAGAAGCTTTATTTCAGTTCCCCCAAGATAGCTAATTGAAATTAGCCCTCCGGCACAAGTGAATCAAATTTACTTTGCCTTAGGGCTCCCATCTCTTCCCTCAACTGGTTTCAAACCAGTAAGGGGAAGGGATCTACCAGTTGCTGGGTCCTCCTGGTAAACATCTAGGGAGCATTTCAGAGGCCTGTGTCTCCCAGTTTTGATGGGGGACGCCGTTCGTTTTGGGCAATCCTCCCTCTCCCCCTGCCATCTATCGCTTCTCTTTATATTCCGTGCGAATGGAGAATAGCGTGTCCCAAAGTTTAAGGCAGGTGACGCAGGGGTGATTTTACACATTATAGACTCTTGTGAATCGCTTCTAGAGTGAGTGGGCTGCACCTCAGCACCCCCCCCCCCACCATCCTTGGGAACCAGAGACCTGCCCAATGTTTAACCTCCCTAGGATTTCACCAAGAGTCAGGCCGTGGTTTAAACAGCCTGGATTTCCTGGCTGTAACGCACTGGCGCCAGGCTCCAAACATTAGCCTAACGTGTAACTTGGGGGAAGTCAGGTTTCCTTTGGGATTTTAACAGTTCTCTGGAAATGTCGTATCATCCAGCCAGACTGTTTGTCCGGGAGCGGCTCTTATATAGCTCTCCATAGCTCAAAATGAAACCAGGGAATCAAAGGCCCTGCAGAGGTCATACCTCTGAAATCCAGACTAACTCAACTGAAATGGAATGAAATGAATTTTAGCATGGGAAATATTGCCCCATTGGGGTTTTTTTTTTTTTTTTTGGGCAAGCTATTTAGCTCAAATTATAATCCTACCAGTCTCGAGGTGTCTTTTTTTTTTTTTTTAAGCAACTGGACTTTCTTTGTTTTTCTTGAAGAGGTTTCGCTTCTTGTCCCAGAAGCTTCTTCAGTTCTGAGTCAAGTCGGTCAGAACTGAAGAAGCTTCTTGGATGAGAGGCGAAACATCTTCAAGAAAAACAAAGCAAGTCCAGTTGCCTTTTGAAGGTGGGGGGGAAGAACCTGTGGGACAACCATGACATGGAATCTCCACAGGCATAATCCTATCACAGTGTTTCTCAACCTTGACAATTTTAAGGCATGTGGACTTCAACTCCCAGAATTCCACAGCCAGCAATGCTGGCTGTGGAATTCTGGAAGTTGAAGTCCACATGCCTTAAAATTGTCAAGGTTGAGAAACACTGTATAATCAGGTCAAGCCAAATCAGAGCAATGGTACAATAATTGACATTGGTTAGATCAGTGGTTCTCAACCTTTCTAATGCCGCGACCCCATAATACAGTTCCCCATGTTGTGGTGACCCCCAACCACTTATACATCACAGGGTGCCAGGGGCGTGGCCAAAGAAAAGGGGGAAAAAATGGCGGACAGCCTTGTTTGGCGACCCCCGTGAAATGGTCGTTCGACCCCAAATGGGGTCCCGACCCACAGGTTGAGAACCACTGGGTTAGATGTTGGTGCCAGAGTCATACCTGGAAAACTGTCATCTAGGTCAGGGGTCTTCAAACTTGGCCCTTTTATGACTTGTGGACTTCAATTCCCAGAATTCCTCAGCCAGGCACATGAGGAATTCTGGGAGT